TGTATATGTTATTCATAGGTACCCTTCTATGTGGAAGAAAATGTCAGGAACAGAGAATAAATTATTCCTCAGCATAAACAATGTATGTTTGAAATAACTAGTCATCACCCTAATTAATGACCACTTGTTCTAGGTTTAATTCTTATAGTCCTGGAATTATAGGAATGGCGTTTTTCTATATTCTTAAATCATTTAGCCATAAGACTTTAGACATGCTTTTTTCTCTTTAAGACAGAGCACAGGCTGCCCTCCAAATTAATGCTACCTTCACCAGCACAGATACAAGTTTCTGCGCTAGACAGCTAATTATTTACTATGGTATGTGACATCCTTGAATCTCAGAGTACTGGTAATACCCTTACAAGGTCAATTATTGTTATTATTATTATTATCTGAGAATTTTATGCAAACAAAATGGTTGACATTGTGGAATTTCTTTCCTTTATCATAATTAACAAAGTTGGAGAATGGTGCCCAGTCCTAGTTAGTTTCACCAACTAATGTGATTTCTCAAGTGGTAGCCAGAAGAGTGAAGTGTTTTTCTCTCAGTGAAATGCAAAAGGCAGATAGTTGTGTGGAAGGATTTCTAATGTGAAGGACTAGCCTGCACAGCACAGTTGCCATAGAAACCTTCTGTCTTGCTGGCGACCTCAATTACAATATTGTAACAGAAATTTCCAAGGCTTGATTGGAAAAGCAGGGGCCCTTCTCCCCGTATTTTAGACTCAGCAGAGGGTACAAGACCCCTGCATTGGGGGTTGAATCTCCTTGAGGAATGTGGAGACAAAGATCTTAGAGCCAAATCCCACAATTCCTGCTTTCAGCGTGTGTGCCGAATGTCTCCTAAGGGGAAGAAACATGGAACCATCACAGACCTGAGGGATATGCTATCCTTTTTAGGGTGTCCTGAACCTACTTTCCATGTACAGGCAGAGTGTTCATGGAGATGATAAGATTCTTTTTAAGCCAATTTCTCCACTCTGAAATGGACATTAGAATGCTCACAGAATGGTTCAGATCTTCAGGAATGAGACAGGAGCAAGCACATACACTGTCTTTATGACTCCAGACAACTTCTTAATCCTCATATTTGTTGTGAGAGCTTGAGACATGAGAGAAGTAGACAGAAAAAGGCCTAGGGGAGATGCTCCCTGTACCTTTTATGTGCTGATACAATTTTATGAAAACATCTCTTATATTTTAAGAGACTGGAACTCTGGCTGGATCTCACACAAAAGTTAATAATTGTGCCTTGATGTCACTTAAGCCTTAGCCTGCTAAATTGTTATACTCTGTTGTTTAACTTGCCTTTAAGAGAACAATGCAGCAGCCAACTCTATTTACCTTGAATTTTCCATGTACTCAGCTTTTATAGCCTAAGCTAATGCATAGCTATAATTTTAAATCTATGCCCCTGACCCAAAGAGCAACATGTGTGTATCATTTGCTGAAAACAGAAGACAGGTAGAAAGTGTCCTTATATAATAAATATGCACAAGTAAATGTTGTAAACAACATATGGATATTGCAAGATGACAACATGTTTGCCTTACTGAATGCTTTGGGAGTCAGTTGGATTACCTTAATCGCCTTGTGAAACTCTGTTATAGATTTCTGTAAAGTGTTCCTCATTCCTTCTCCATGTGATATTTTCTGTGCTTTTCCGTAAATACAGAACAAAGTCGTTTGTTAGGGACACGGCACATGAGAGACAAGCAATAGGGATGAATCAGATACACACAACAGACAGACTACAAACAAGCCAGATAGGACAAATTACAGACTGAAGGAAGACAACTGAGAGAGAGAAATGTAGAACTTAATCGTGAGTTCATTTTGGGTCAAACTAAACTGTAGATGGATGCTTCTGCCCTGCCCAGTCCTTCGGCTATTTAGGTCCAATAAAGCCACTGAGGCTTATAATTATAATTTATTAGTTATAAACACTTTGGCCTATTGCTCTCTCTTAATTATTAACCCATTTCTATGAATCTGTGTATCTCCACATGGTCTTAGCTTACTGGTAATACCTGGGTCTCTTGCTTCCGTGGCAGCTACATGATATCTCCCTTGACTCTGCCTACTACCTTTATCTATCCCTGTTTGGATTTCCCACCTGGCTAAATCCTGCCTGTCCATTGGCCAAAATAGCTTTATTTATCAACTATTAAGAGAAACATATATTCATAGCATACATAAGAACATCCCCATCATTCCTTCTTTTCTGTCTAAATAAAAAGGAAGATTTTAACTTCAACATAGTAAAAGCATATATAACAGAACTGTTATCAAGTAAGAATTATAGTTAGCAATATTTAGTCCACTAACAATTGGCAAAATTTAAAGATTTTCTATCATCTATCCTACCTTTGTGAGTCTAAAGTTTTATATGTAACATCTTTTATCACAACTAAGGAAAGCCATAACCATACTATCTGTCTTCAATTCCATCAAGACCCCAGAAAGATAACATGTAAACTCTAGAATTGACAGAGACATCTCACTGCCCGTACAGTCACCCAAAATTCCTCTGTAACATTGGAGGCATCCTTCTTCAACCTATAGGCCCAGAACATCTGCCAGACTTTTTGATGAAACAGGAAGCTTGAAGGACCATCCTTACCTTTGGCAAGTTCAGCAGTCACTTTTCTGTCAAGCAGTCCAGGAAAGAGCAGTTTCTTGTCCAAATGGCTATTCCTGCCATGTTGAAGGCAAACTCCATAATGAGTTTCTTCAATGCCCATCTTCCTCTCTGACGTAATTGGTATTGCCAGGAGCAGTTGTGTCTCATTGTCATGAGTCCTAAGTTAACAAACCATTTTAAATGCCATATTCTGTAGGTGTTTGAAAGGTTTTGAAGAATACCTATCCATTTGAAATATATCTCTGTATATCTAGAAAACCTAACACAACTATGAGGTCTGACTATTACAGGTAACTATAATCTGTGATTAATTATATATTGCGTTTTTAAATGAGTTGTGTAATTGGGGGCACTGTCAATACAATGGGATCCTGAGAAAATCCAGAACCGTGGTCAAATTCTGGCTACAGTAGTCTTTTGGATGTTGAATCGCCTGTGCCACTGCTTCAGGGGGTGGTCTTGTTTGATTAAACCATATTAGTTTGGAAGGAATCCACTGCTTTTCATTTTCTTTGGAAAAAAAAGCAGGACCTCTTTTCCAAAGTAAAATGTCCATAGACTTAAATTTTGAAGTCAAGGCATTTAAAAATATATATTTGGATTAATCCAGCAGCTTTTATAATCAAATGTTTTTAGCAGCTGTGGAGTTTTATTGAAATTGCCAGGAGAGCATCAAAATAATTTCCAAAACAACATTCATCCAGAGTAAAATATTTTAAAGAAGAAAATAACAAGCTGATACTCATATTCAGTGAAAACTCAAAGGACATAGATTTTTTTGACAATACAACATAACTAGAGAATAAACAATATTCCATTTCAAGATTTCCAATAAACTGATAGCAATCAAAAAGTGTTCTATTGACATCAAGTTGAGAAACTAAATCAGAGGAATAACTCAGAAATAGATCTGTATCTATGTAAGTGACAGTTTTTTAAAAAAAGATCCAATGACAATTCAGTGGGAAAGGAGAATCTTCTCATGAAATAGTCTTCAGTCAAGTGTATACTCATATTCTTAGTACTCTGTGACCTCAAGTGGATTAAAGAACCAGGGTATTTTTAATACTTATATCAGTTAAGACCATCTAGTTATCTAAAAACTCTGTATGAGTGACATTCAATTGGTGGTACTCAAATGTTAGCTGTTTAGGTCTGGAATATTCCAAGTAGGAAGTTTCCATCAAAATTATCAGAAGAAATCTATTAAACTGCAAGATATGTCATGGGCCACCCTCACCCCCAAAATTACTAAATCAAGCCAGGGAACTGAGGTGGGACGTCTCTAGTTTTTCAATTTCATTTTCCAATTCATTCCGCTATCCATCTAGGTTTGAAAAGCAATGTGGGTTTTCTACAACCTCTTCTAATAGCTTGAATTCTTGCACATGTGATTTTGCAGCTACTCACTTGTACCTGCATCTTCTGTCTGTTTTGATGTGTCAACTAGTATTCAATTAAGTTATGTTTAGTCGATTCATGCACACGCTTTTGAGGTTAAGCACTAGGAAAAAGTAAAAATACGAGGATAGACATGGTCACTGAACTGTCATTAAAGATTGGGGAACTGGGCCTAAGAAGATAAATTGATTAGAAGGGAAATTTTGTACAGTTATTTACAATGAAGAGAACAGTAATTAGGGTAAGAAATCAGGGGACAGGGATTATTGCACGAAGACTTGTCAGTGAAGGCCTTCCCTGGAATTGGCTTTAGAACCCAGTCCTGAATGATAAGAAGCCAGGCAGGGACTTGCTGTGCTTACACTGTGTGTGTGCTCCAGCTGACCCAGGAGCAGAGGACAAGCCCAGTGGCTGGAGCCTGGCAGACAACACAGGCTGATGGGGGGAGAGGTGGAAAGGGCAGATGCAGCCCAGACTCTGGGACACATGTTTGACACTGTGACTGCCCTTTGGGTGTGGAGGATCCCAGTAAGGGTGTGGGGGGAGTGGTGACATGACCTGTAGGTGATGGCTGGTCTCTGTGCAGAGAATGGACTTCAGACAGACAGGATGGGCTAGGGGGAGGGGGGAGTACAGCCATCTGAAGCCTGTTGCAGAAGGCCAGGGGAGGGACTAGGATGTATGGAAGCCATGATGCATCTCTGTGCCTAGGGAGGGGTTCTCTGGACAGGGCTTTGGGTGCCAGATGGGACTTTCAGGGAGTGTGTCTGGGTGTGTGTGTGGAGGGGGAATGAGGTAGCTCAAGCACCCCGCCCACAGCCACCACCCCTGAGTGCACCCGGGCTTATTGAGCCTCACAGAGACGCCGAGCTGCTGTTTTCTATCAGATGCTCCAGGCGCCTTAGACTAGCGGCAGACAGTGGTTGTAGGGTTAACCAGTGACTTGGAGAAAAGAAAAGGCATCGTGGGCGGTGCGCGCTCCAGGGACGCGTGCGCGCGCGCCCAGCATTCCGCGCGAGCCAGAAGGCAGAGGGAACGCGAGCAGACTGCACGCCTGGCCCAGCGAGCGAGCCCCAGCCGGTGAGCGGGCGAGCGAGAGGGCGAGCGCCCGTGGAGCCCGCGTGGAGGGAGCCGCCGATTGAGCCCCAAGATGAACACCCTGCTGTCGCGGGCCAACTCGCTGTTCGCCTTCACGCTGAGCGTCATGGCGGCGCTCACCTTGGGCTGCATCCTCACCACCGCCTTCAAAGACAGGAGCGCGCCAGTGCGCCTGCACGTCTCCAGGATCCTGCTCAAAAAAGTGGAAGACTTCACTGGACCCCGGAAAAAAAGCGACCTGGGCTTCATCACGTTCCACATCTCGGCCGATCTGGAGAAGACTTTCGACTGGAACGTCAAGCAGCTCTTCCTCTACCTCTCTGCAGAATACTCCACCAAAAGCAACGCCGTGAACCAGGTGGTCCTCTGGGACAAGATCCTTCTGCGAGGCGAGAACCCCAAGCTGGATCTGAAAGATGTCAAAAGCAAGTATTTTTTCTTTGACGACGGACACGGTCTCAAGGGAAACAGGAATGTCACTTTGACTCTGTCCTGGCAAGTTATACCGATTGCTGGCATTCTGCCTCTTGTGACTGGATCCGGACGCGTGTCTGTCCCGTTTCCAGATTCTTATGAAATAGCCACGGCTTTCTGAAGAACTCTCTCTGCGTCTGAATAGGGACATCTGTGTGCTTAAGGAATCATATTTCTTTCATGTTTTCCCTCACACCTTGATGACTTCTTTTGTGTTTTGTTTCTTTATTTTAAGACGTGCGGTTTTTGTGTCTGGGACTGGCTGAATTCCACATCCTCTTGCTACCATTTACCTAACACAGAGACTGTTTTCGTGGATCTTCTTAGTGTGACAGTTGTTAGGTTTCCTTTCTTGTAAGGATTAACATCAAATTGTATAGTTGGAGGGAGGGACTGACAGAGTACTCCAGTTAAAAGAATTTTGCCAGAGTAGAATATGACCAGACAATTGCACAAAGAGGATTGAAAAGAATATGCAGATTTATCGCATTTACTATGTTATTCTGTGTGTAATATAAAATGTGTTTGGAGAGAATTTGATGATTCGGTGTATGGTTGCTGTCATAATAACTCCTTTTATTCCTGACATTCCTTGTAGGCTCACATTGAATGCCGTTTACTTATATCTTTAGGATGTGTTTGATTACCAGGAAAATTACGATTTGCTTCTTAGAATTCTGACATAGAAAAATAGTTAAATACGAATGAGAACAAGATTTTACTCCCATTTCAGAAATCTTAATGCTTGTCTTTCTTGCCAGCAAATAAGTCCATTTGAATAGTGAATACCTCTTTAGGCTACAAACAATAACTCACTTCATATCTTTAAATAAATGGAGTGTGTAGCTTACAGTGTTTTCTCTACAAAGATTGCTGTGCATTGTATCTTTGCAAATGTTTTACCTCTGTAACTGAAATTTGAAATTTTTTGCATGCTTAACAAATGTGATGAGTATGTTCTAGTATGTTTAATGCCTTTAAATAAATTCTAACTGCTTAAAACAGTTTTAAGTTCATTATCTGGACATTATTGGGATATTGGTAATAACACTTATGGTATGATCTTTCACTTAAAAACAAATATATATACACATATATATTCTATAATCTAAAAATAAGCTGTACAAGCTCTAGCTCTCTTCAAATGAAGAAACTGAAATTCAGAAGTTTGTTACATTACTTCAGGCAATAGAGTTTAAATCTAAAATCCAATCTGATTATTTTTGTTAAATATTGGTTTTTTATGAGATTATAATATAATTACATTATTTTCGTCTTCCTTTTCCTCCCTCCAAACACTGTTGTGTAGCCCCCTTTGCTCTTTTTCAAATTCATGGCATGTACATATATTCCTAAATACAGCATGCTCAGTCTGTTTAATGGTACTTCTACATATACATCTTCAGGGCTGACCATGTGGTATATAATAAGCCCTTGGTGTGCTCTTCCCCAGGGAAGGTTATTTTTCTCTCTCTCTCTGTTTTTTAGCTATCTGTAGTTCTTTGTCTGGGGTTGAGGCCTCATACACTCCCACCATCACCATCCACACACAGATATATCAGTTGGGACTGGGCTCCCAACTCTGCTTTTTCATCACCTGCTATTCAGCTTTAAAAAACAGAAAATAAATGGATGGAACTAGAAAAGATCATATTAAATAGTGAGGTAAATGAGACCCAGAAAGATAAATGTCCCATATTTCTCTCATCTGAGGTTCCTAGCTCCAAATCTTCAGATGTGAGTACATAACCTGGAGTGACTGCAGAAACCAGGAAAGTAAACTGGGACTTTTGCTGGAGTGAAGGATGGGGGAGCGGTAGATGGGAGATTAGCAGAATGCAAATGATTTGAGGGGAGGAATGGAAAAATGGGGCATCTAATTAGAGACAGGGTGTAAGATAAATAGAAGTGGGGACAAGAATTAAATAACGGGATGTTTAAAAAGTCATAAGGAATCATATTGTGGACTATCTCCCGAAAATAAACACAGTACAAATAAGTCTATGTGGAAATATATCCATATAGTTTAAATAAAAATTTCCCTTCTGGGCTGACAATGCTTCCCCCACAATAACCATAGACTACCTAACAAAGACTGCAAAACCAGGCATGAGAGTCCCTCTTATGAGTTATTGATCAGGATTGTCCAGAAGTCTCCCCAAAACATTGTAGGCTATTGCTGTTGCCCTTGGTTGCCTCCCAAAGATGGAAGATATGTCTCCATTGGTGAAATCATCATGCACTCCAAACTTAGGCCCCAGAGGGTCCAATTTGATTCTAACCCAAAAGCCTTCTCCCTGAGGACTAGCTTTCATTGTACCAAAAAGCACCGGAGGGAATTGGCCAACAGTCCTTCCCAGCTCAAGGCAAGATGAAGTGGAACCATCGGTATGGGCCTCGACAACCTATGAGTCACAATGACCAGCATGGCACAGTAACCCCAAGGGTTCAGTGCCACACATGCCTTGACAGCTCCCAGCAGCTTTCTAAGTATACTTAACACATACTCAACAAAAGGAAAATCATGTGTGGCACTGGAACCTAGCCATCTGCCTAGTGCTAATAAACACATAAGGTTTGAAGGAGAACCTACAATCACTTCTTTACTAAACCAGCAATCTAAATATTTGCCCTTATGCCCACATATAAGTGTGATCACCTCTTTTCTTACTTAGGATTTCTATTGATGTGATAAAATGACCAAATTCATCTTCTGTTTCTTTAGACAACACAGCAATCAAATTTCACTTATAGGTTTCTTTTTATTTTTTTTCCCTTTACTCTGGAAATCCTTTTTTTTCACTCCTGGAAAGAGATACACTACCTTGTGTGAAAGGACTAATTTTGATTCTGCTAACAAAGTACAATTCATTCTCTGCATAAAATCCCCATTTACTTGATTTATTGTATAAAGGAACTGGAATGTTTGTAAAATAGCTTATTGAATAAATATACATAATACTATGTAATGAAATTTAAAATGGTCTTTTCCAAGGTAGGGAAATAAACACTGTTAAAACAGTGACTGCAATTTAATTGCTCTTAAGATGAAACAATCCAGTTATACTACCTCTGATAACAGAAGGAGCTATTTTTTCCTAAGAACAGTTTAAAGCCAATGTGTAACATTTTTTGTGGTCACATCATGTAATTATAACACTCCATTCATTTGAACAGCTGTGCATATGGTTATGCTGTTTATGGGTAAGAATTTGAGAAGGAGTATTTCTACCCAACAGAAACTTCAAAGGTGGAATGCCATGCATTCCGGTGTTAGCTCCAAAATTCCACTTAGTTTGTGTGGGATCTCCATTTTCTTTGTCTGGGATATGGCAAGAGTTGAAATAACAACTTAGAGGGTGATCATTTTCCCATCACACGCGTATATAATATGTTTTTAATCTTTTGAGCATATCAGAACAGAAATATACAGTACTTATATGAAGGCAGGAAGACAAGCACACACTTCATATTGATCTGATTTTGTTTCATAGTCAGAAACTTTAACTTGGTGTAATTGCTACAGGTGCTGAACATGAAAACTGCACATGTCAAATACTAAGGAAGACACTGACAACAAAGCCTGAGCACCAGTGTCCCAGATCACTAGTGGTGAGTGGATCTGATAGCTTGATGGAGATGAATGCTGTTATTTTTTGAGATTCAATTGATTTATCTGACAAACATACTTTTTGGGAATTTGGTATGGAATTGAAGTATAAAGACCCAAGAAGTATAACGTATATAGAGGTTGTCATTTTTTTTTTTGGTTTTTCAAGACAGGGTTTCTCTGCATTGTTTTGGAGGCTGCCCTGGAACTAGCTCTATAGATCAGGCTGGCCTTGAGCTCACAGAGATCCGCCTGCCTCTGCCTCCCGAGTGCTGGGATTAAAGGTGTGCGCCACCAACGCCCGACTGAGGTTGCCATTTTTATTAGCAAAGGGAAACTATGAATAAAAATTAACCTCCCTCTCAGGAATTTGATTTTTGTAGCAGACAGTTTTGTTTATTTAGTATAATAAAACATTTAACAAGCTAACTTGGGGGCTGGAGATATAATTTGTTGCTGAGTTCTTGCCTTGCATGCTTAAGACCTTAGCTTCAAACCTCAGTACTGGAAAAAGAACTTGAGGCCTGGACATGTAGTTAAATGGTAGAGCACTTGCCTAGCATGTCCAAGATCCAATACTGAGTATCATTCTTATCTATCTATCTGTCTGTCTATCTATCTATCTATCTATCTATCTATCTATCTATCTATCTATCTGGAACTCACGTTCACTTTGATAAACATATCATTCTGTATGGGTGATAATTTTTCAGTTTAATTTTTAAGTATTTTGATGATTTATTTTTATTTTTATACACATTGGTGTTTTGCCTATATGTATGCCTGTTTGAGGGTGTCAGATATCCTGGGACTGAACAGCTGTGAGCGGCCATGTGGATGCTGGGAATTGAATTCAGGTTCTTTGGAAGAACAGCCTCCAGCTGTGCCGCCCTTTTCATTAAAAATGTTTTCCTATGTGTGTATCTTGTATATTGAGAATGTTCCCGTCCATTCCTTATCAAAGTTTTAGAAGTCTCTGCAGAGACAAAAGATTTTTGGAAACAAAAGTGTTATTGAAAATATCTAATTCCAGGACCTATTCTCATACAATAATAACCGCATAGTTGTTTATAATAGCTGTCATTTTTAATTAATTAATTTAAAAATATACTGCTTACATGATTTTTCCCTCTACAGTTAAACAAAAGACAAATAACTATTCAAAGACACTTGGTAGAACTATGTTATGATTTTGGCTACAATCTGAGAATGACATTATTTGCATCAATTTATGAAAAATTTCCTCAGTTCCTCCATGAGGGAATTTCTAAGTGGAATACTCACGACACATGCTTTCTGGCCCACTTTTCTATCCCTACATAAAATGAGACTCCATTCCAGTCATTTCTACTCAGCAAATGAGAACTGTCACTGCCAACTGCTGTCTTAGCTACACAGAAACTCCTGTCTGCAGCAGTTTGCTTGGTGAATACACATGCAAAAGAGGAGTCTAGCACTTTGAGAATTGTATCTCAAAGAAAGGATTCTGAAGCATTTTCTCCTATCACCAGGATAATCCATAGCAAGGAAATAACTTTCTCTTTACAGGCACACATCACAATCTTAGGCTGTTGTGATTGTCCGAACACTGCCAAAATGGTAAGTCCGTCAAATTTGGGGGGAGAGGGGTAAAAATAATCCATTTGCCAGAATATCTAAGTTGTACTCATTATTAGGGATCGCTCAATATATTCTTCCCCTTTTCTCATATTTTAAAGTATTTTCATTACAAAAATTGTAAACAAATAAAAACATCACACACCACAATTAGCCATATCTTAATGTTTATACAACTTAATGAACTTACACAATTGGAATTGACATTTGAAATGGAACCTCATATTTTAATTGGTTTATAGTTCAGACTTAGGGTATTGGGGACATCTATGGGAATTTGTAGGGATGAGATAGGAACCCTTCCTGAGACAGTGAGACACAGATGAAGAGCTGCAAGCCTACTAAAAGATCTACCACTGAGAGCAGAAGTGCCCAAGAGGTTTGAAATGTGAGGGTCCAGGCTAAATAATCATTATTTCTCAGTCAAATGCACTATAGGGACCTAAGGATGTGGAGAAATAATTCTGGGGTGGGGAGCAAGCTTGTGCATTATGATTGCCATGGCAACCTGATGTGATAATGATGGCTCTGACAACTTAATAATGGAAACCAGAATGTTGTGTTGAGAACAGAAGGGTCCCCTCTCCAGATGTTTGCACTCACCTAAGGGTATGGGTGCCTCCGGATGGTGGGGTGAGCGAGACTGAACTTCTCTGTAGAGTGAGGAAACACAAACAGGAAATCCCAGAACCTAGCCAGGTCCTTCTTGTTGGAGAACTGCTTGGAGAATGCCTCATTTATGAGACTCTTGAGATCTTCCTATCCCCAAGGACGATG